ACATATAAATTAATCACATATATACTGCACCGGGCTTGCCTGACATCGAATCAGAGTCCGGAACACATAACACATAACACATAACACATAAACATGCATGAATCACAAAGACATCAAGCATACATAGCTACTTCTCAGGACCGCCCCATCATCGGACCCGAAGTCCAGAATAAACTAAATGTAGAAACTGCATCGGGCTAACCTCGACAACGGGCTTACCCAGACATACTCTACTACTTAAACGGGCTGTCCTTGGAGCCTTACACCTGTTCCTACTAGAGGAAAACTCACCTTGCACTGCTGAAGATCTTGCTGATACCCTCCTGATTGCTATCCGACAACTCTCCGAACCGTTGCTACTCTAGCTCCCTAAGCTACCAATACCAAAATAACACTTTAGTCCTAAACTCGTCGAGTCAGCCTATTGACTCGTTGAGTTCATAGTCTCCAGAAATTATACAACTCATGACTCGACTCGCCGAGTCACCCCATAACTCGTCGAGTACTTCAATCTCCGAGTCCTAGTTTTATCCAACCCACTGAGTCACCACTCACTTACTTATTTGGCTCATAACCAGGAGGGATTAAGGTTTGCGACCTGACTCACCGAGTCCATGAACCGACTCGTCGAGTCCACTTTGTGTCTTCACCAATCTGTCGATTACAATCCAATCCATTGCTTCCAATTCGTAAATTTGGACTCCTAAGGCTAGCATTACATGTAAAGTTGCTAACTATATGTGCACGCAAGGTGATATGAAGCTAAAACACTTAATCCAAGCTAAAATGGATGTCTAAATCATGGAATGAAGCCATAGTTGGGTAAAGCTACCCACTTAGAGCTCCTAAAGCTTAGAAATGCCCAGATCTGAAGTCCTTTTCGTCCTTAAAGGCTCAATGTTCGGATTGGCTTAGGAAATGGTCAAAATGTGACAAAATGTGACAAAATCTAAGCTAAGAAGTGGATATATCTAATGAATGCTCAAGGTAAAGACTTGTTACCTTCTACCAGCTGCCAAACCGATGTAGAGGCTAGATCTACACTTCCTTCCTTGCTCTTTTCTCTCAAACCTTCAAAATGCACTCCAAATGGACCTTAATATTCACCAAAGCTCAAGAAATGAAGTTGGGTGGCTAGGGTTTCGGTCCTGGACTATGGAGGCTGCAATTGAGACCCTAAAGAGGAGAATAGGATGCTTAAATAGGGAACCAAGTCTTGAAATTAGGTTTTCCCAACCCAGACCTGACTCGCCAAGTCAGTTCCCCCGACTCGCCGAGTCGGCCACTTAATCTGCGACACGGAACTCGCTCCGACTCGTTGAGTTCTTCCTTGGACTCGACGTGTTGACTCATTGATTTTGGGTTCTCCTTTTCTTTTCTTGGTTTGTTGGATTATGGGTGTTACAACTTTCTTCCACTTATACTAGACTTCGTCCTCGAAGTCCGCTATGGCTAACTGTCCTACAATCTGCTCACCACATCTCTGTTTGGTGAATCCATATCGTACTGGGTCCGATCCTCGCGAAATCACTTCCTTTGACATTCTGTTCGGTCATTCAGCTAAAACTAGTCCTTGCAATTAGAACCCCATTAGCACTCTACTCACCAACAACCCTAAAATACTGGTCTTACCTAACCGACAATCCCTTCTGTACTCCCCGAGTACTTATGCTAGACATCCTAGGGGTTTCACTCCTTTTACCTTGCGTATTCACTGTCCTTTCCAAGAATACTTCCCATACACAACTACAACCTTTTCTTCCTCTATGAAGGATATACCTTCCGTTGTGTCTACATTCCCATCCACTCCCAATGCTGGTCACTTCACTGCTACCCGTTGAATGCATCTTCCTACTATATCTTAGTGCCGAACACCCAACCTAGCGCGTGGATCAGATAATCCTTCGACTAAAAAGGTTTATCCCTATAACGGTTAGACTCACACGAGAGCTGCGTAATAGGGTCAAACCCTTCCCTCTGAGATGACCTAACCCTGCTGTAAGGGGCGTAGCACTTCTTGGGAAACTGGCTATCCCACGCCCAACTTCTCTTCTCATTACTGCCCCTGATTGAAAGTTCTATTGTCTCTTATCCTCCTTTCGGATTAATCGAGACCACCCTGGTCCCAACCATTCTACCATTAACTGGGTTATCGAACTTCTATCAGTTACTAAACCCAGCCTAGCCACTCAGTCGCTCCCAATGACGCTTGCAGGAACTCCGGCTATCTAAAACTGCTCTATCTAACCTGCCCCTCTAGCTCTACATGTCCTGGGATCCTCGATCCCTTATCCTGACCCTAAGGTCTCTACCAGGTCCCACCTGCATTGCTACTAACATACGGGCCTCGCCCATGAGTCCCACCCAAACCATACTACTGAGCGACCATGCCCCCAGGTCTCACCTATCTAGGGCTACGCGGTCCAAAACCATCCTAAAAACTCAACGACTACCCTCTATCGACCTCTGACATAGTAGCTAGGAGACACGAGCCTTGCCTAAACTCTGCTAACTAGCAGATACGGGCCCTCGCCCACACTCCTCTGACTTAGGAGATACGATCCCTCGCCGACACTCCTCTAACTGACTAAAAGTGATTGCTACACGATCATTAATAGCCTTATGTCATGAATGACGTTAAGCAGTCCACTACTTCCTTGCTCTCATAACTGTAGTGGCGCTTCTACCATCTTATCACTGGCTTAACCAGGTCTAACCCGTTTGGGTAATTCAGAAATCCAATCCGTGGATTTCTATGTCCTCACTGCTACACCCAAACTGGTGGGTACCATTGTTCTTTCCGTGTCCTATGCTCATGCTATCCACCAACCTAGTGAATGCTATGGCTACACCCGCAGACTTACAACACTCTATCACTATCAGGCTGCTAGTGAATGCTACGACTACTCCCACGGACTTACAACACTCTAATACTATATGGATGCTAGTGAATGCTACGGCTAATCCCACATACTTATAGCACTCTAATACTATCTGGCTACTAGTGAATGCTACGGCTACACACGCAATATTACAACACTTTATCACTATCTGGCTACTAGTGAATGCTACGGCTACTCCTGCAGACTTACCACACTATAATACTATCTGGCTGCTAGTGAATGTTACGGCTAAACCTGCAGACTTACAACACTGTAACAATATCTGGCTTCTAGTGAATGCTATGGATACACCCGTAGACTTACAACACTCTAACACTATCTGGTAGCTAAGATCATTGGGTTCACGCTATCGCTGATCATGCTGATGTTGGCGCTGGTGGACAGCGTGTTGTGTGTTTGACTCATCAGTTCATAAGGTGTGACCTTACAAATTGATTATTTATTAGTGTACTTTGATTATTAGTAAATATATCAACATTTGTATTTAATTGGAAAAACATTATTTTATGAAAATTAATATATACCAATATATTGGGAATTATTGTTTCTAGGAAATAATAATAAAAGTGAACAAAAACTAGTTATATTCATAAGGCATGGATATAAATGCCATATACAAATAAATGGGCACTTTGAGTAACTACTTAGTTTGTACATGTAACTACTAGTTAAGGATAAAGTAAAAAGTCACTCAACTCTTGCCCTTGCCTTAGTCTAAAACCATATGATGCTTGAAGACAAGAGTTTGGTGTGTTTGATTTGTTTGTTATATCATTCATACATGTAAGAAAAAGACTCACCACATTTATGCTTTATGGTCTCCACTTTATGATTATAAGTAAAACATAAAATAAAGACTTGCAAGTGTTTTGGAGTTAAGTCTTTCTTGCATGAGTGTTTTTCTCTTCTTCTTTTCTCTCCCATTGCTGTGAATTATAAATGGTACCCGGTTTTCTCCATGTCTTGTATTTTGGAGCACATTCTTGGTGCTTAAATGTTGCTTCTCTTTAAGCATATTTTGGAATATGTCTTAAAGCTTAGGAACAACATTTTTCAAGTGTTTACTAGCATATTATAGTGGTTTAAATCTTTCTTGGCGAGTACATTATAAAGAGCTTAATTTAGAGCTTAAATCCATCTTTATCAACTTCTTAATTGCCAAAAAGAACCAAAATCTTCAAATGTTGTATAAGTTTATTCTTCTTTGGTTTTGTTTAATCTTTCTAAGTTCTTGAAAATGATCATTGGTGGGTATAAAATGGTTTTAGTTTATTTAAACAAAAATGTTTCCATCGTTAGCCATGTCAATATTTGAGACTACAATTTGACTATTTTTTAATAAAAACCCAACAATGGCAATATCGGGAACATCAGCTTTGATGCCGCCTTTATTCTTGACAGTTGCTTCTGTCCACTATATCTTTATCCTACTTCTCTTTATCTTCTCCTCACCTGATCTCTCAATGTATCTTGTTTTTTTTTCTTGTTGTCGGTATCACACAACCAACCAGACAATGTGTGTGTTGTTCTCATTGAAGCCCACAAAAAAAACACATCGCACATAGTTTTCTTGTTTCTTTTCTCTTTCCCTATCGGCAATATAAGAAACCCTATAATCCATCTTGATTTAAGATAATGAATACCTTAATTGACCTTCATTGCATCGAAGCATGAACCGAACTTAGGAATAATAGTTACCATTTGATAAATCTTAATGTATATAATTTCCACATACTTTTATCTGCTTTGGTATCATGAGTTGTTTGCTTGGTGATGGGTTGATGATGCGTGTGTCAACGTTGATTGGTTGATAGTGGTGTTATTTCTAGGGTGACATGGTAACCCTTGATGCAATCATAGATCATGATGTTCTTGTTGTCCTGTTGAGAGTTGATTCGTTATAGTTTGCTAGTTTATATGGATTTTTGTTCTCGTCTTGCCCTAGCACAGGCGGGGAGTTCCAAAGCCTCTTTCAGTTTCTAAGGCCATTATACAAAATTTATTATCTTAATTTGCTAATTAATCATGCTGAATTTATAAATAAATGTTATAAAACGTTTATTAATGTACAAAATTGTGATCATTGTGAATGTAGTTAAACGTTTATAAATAAATGTAACATGAAATGATCGTGTGAATGTAGTTAAAATATTTTGTGAACATTGTGATCAAATAATTGGATATGGCATCACTAGTCCCGAATTTCCTTTTCTCCGACGCACCACCCAATAAAGCTATCACTTCTGCTTTCCTTCCCCGCCCCAAAGCTCCACTCACGCATCCTTCCCCACCCCCACTAACCCTCCCATCCCCTCCCATCCTTTCGCAGTAAACTACTATGAAGTGCTTGCTATGGTTACCCTTGTTTCCATCTCTCATTCTAATGCCCCTCCTTTTCGCATCACCCAATTCAGAACCTGTCCAATCTTTCCATCCAAACTCATCCCCGCCGGCCACCACCATCCCCGCATTCCCTGAACAATCAGACGCCACCGGATGCCCTTTAGACCTCCCCAACGACCTCTTCACAAGTGTCAAATCTGCCTGTACTGGGAAACATGTCTCGGGTAAGCTTAGACGGTCAAGGTGCTGCCCAGTCCTCGCGGCGTGGCTCTACTCTGCCTACTCTGCAACCGCACTGAGCAAAGCTGTCAAAGAACCACTCCAAACGGCGTCGTACTATGATCTCCCTCTCCTTCCTAACGACTCGGAAACGTGCATCGATAACCTTGAAAATGGACTGAAGAGCAAAGGGATAGAATTGATGAGGTCGAACGAATCGTGCGACGTTGTCTACTGTGAATGCGGCATCAGATTGCATCCTTTGAGCTGTACGGAAGCGTTTTCGGTTAATCCAAGGGGAGAGTTGGTTGGCAATCACAACGTAAAGATGTTAGAGAAGGATTGCTTGAATAATCCGGCCGTTAATGGATTCTCTGGTCTCGATGGCTGCTCCAGATGCTTGAAAACCCTTCTCCTGGTTAGCTTTCCGATTCTTCCCTTTGCACACACACACACACACACCAATTTCACTCTTTGGGTACTAGGGTTCTTAATTGGTAAAGGTGCTTTTTTCTGGTGTGCTAGTTCAGACACGCTGTATTGTGGCGCGTGCGTACCACGTTCATGCCTTACAGAAGCGTTTACAGTCGGGTATCTTATTAGAAATATATATGGGTGTATATGTGATTGATTATGATACTAATTTAGATAATAAGGATTTTATCCATTCAGCACTGGACTTATAGCTAGAAAATAAGAAACATTCTCCAAATAATGATACTAAATGATTACGGAGATAATTGTATGATTAGGTAGGTAACTAATGGGCTATATGATTATGTGATTCTACTAATGAAGTTGGAGGTGTTACTACCTGCAATCATTATCTGTAGTAAATAGAGGGGAATGTAGGGAGTCTTTTTCAATCTTTTAATATTTGAAAGCGACTTTCAAGTCTTTTTCTATTAGTTATCATAAATAATATCACTCTCGTTACTTCTGTCTTATCTCCTTCACAACCTCTATTGATTTAAGAAAAATGGAAGAACACAAATTTTAATAGGAAGAAATGAAAGTGGCATCATGAAATACACAAATAAACGTATGTTGGTATTTCTTGTAATTTGCCTTTTGATTTTTTTAATAATGAGTTGACTATACTCGCAATAAAATCTTCTAGAATCAGACAAGTAAATTCCTTCACATGTTCACCTGTGACATTTGGATGGACTATCCAATTTGATCTTGAGTAAGTCCAAGATAACGTTTCAGATTTTATTGCAAGTTGTCAATAGTCTGTTTGTGAAATTATTGCTTCAAGGAACCCCTATGCACACAGTAATCGACATAAACATAATTATTTCAAGAGCACGGGCTTTTACACCAATTATTGTATCTGATTTATTAGGCTACCTGAAAAGCTAGCTGCTAGCTGAAAGGATGGGTTTATTCATGTATGCAGCTTAACAAGAGTAATCACGTAAATGGAAGCAAATCAGAGGAGAGAACAAGTAAAATACACAATGAAGATTGTGAGGTGATGGGTTTAACGTGGCTTCTTGCTAAGAACAGGTCAGCATACATACATACGGTTTCTGGTGTCCTAAGAGCCATGATGATGATGACTCAAGATGGGAATTCCAATTTCAATTCAGTTCCTGACTCGTGCACCCTCAACAGCGATGGAATGCCGTTAGCCGTTGATTCTTCCGAAATCAACAACTCGTCATCATCCGCTATCCTCCCTCTTTTTTTACTTCACCTTCTTTGTATGTTTCTTAGTCTCTCAATCCACCAACTACTTGATAGCATCATGTAGTCCCATAATGCTGTTATGCGTATCACCTTCCTAGCCATTTACCTCTAAAAGTTGATTGTATATGTTATTTGGTACACATGGAAATGTAATTCTTTGTTGTATTTTTTAAGTTTTTTGTTTCTTTCCTTTCATCGTGGTTTTAAGTAGTTTCCAATGGTATTGTAGTAGTAAGTAGTTTCTCAAGGTTTAATGAGTTGGAAACTTGTGCCTATAAGAAAAATAAGAATTTGAAGAGTTTATAACTATAAGTACCATGTGGATAGTTAATCCAAAGGTTATAAGGGAGGGGGGAGTCATTCCCTCCCAACCCCCAACATCATTTTTTTTCTTTTTTCTTTTTCATCATTTTTTTCAACCCACAACAAATGGAAACCCTATCTTTTTAAATCCATTCAACCCATTCAATAAAAAAAAATACAAAACAATCAAAGAAATTTTTTTAATTAGCAATAAAGTTATCGGTGGTACCAATTCAGTTTCAACGGTTAGTTAATTGGTTCTACTAACTCATTTTATCATCTCTCTTATTTTCTCTTGTACCATGTGTTTTAAAACTTGTAACTTAGTTGTTTTGTATTTTTTTTAATTGATTGGGTTGAGTGAGTTGAGAAAGATAGAATTTCCGTATGTTGTGGGTTGGGAAAGATGAAAAAAAAAGAAAAAATAAAAATTGATGTGACAGTTGGTTAAGTGGGTTGGGAGAGAACGACTCCCTCCTCCTTAGGTAAGCTCATAACTTCCGTCATTAATTTAAGTTAATCTAGAAGTTATTGGATTGTTTTGTAATTGTGGATTTCTCATGATTTTTAATTGTTATGAAAGTTTATAACTGTGGTTTAATTTGAGGTCTTAATACTAAAGAAAAAGAATATGAATATGAATTAGGAAGGTGTGGGCCTCCACTAACATGGTAAGCTCAGAGCTCGGTCAAAGTCTCTAGCATTGACATGCAATCGGACAATGTCATTTGCATAATACTAAACACATTATACTTGTACACACTTTGAGCATCTAAATAACATGACCTATTTGTGTGTTTTGCTTTGATGTTATTTTTGTGTGCAAGGAATCCGTTACCCAATGTTTTAGAAACCAGTTTTTAGGTGAACCCGTCTATTGATTGGTTTTCCGGTTCAACCGTCGTTCAACAATCAGTTTACATCTCGTAGTGTGTGCGTCACCTTCGATCTGTGTATACTCCGGATGAATTGATCGATCTAGCCATTCAATTTCTTTGGAAAAAAAGACTTTTTTTTAATGAGCTAAGTGAAATTCGTCTATCAAAGTCAAATAAAGTGCTTCAAATGGGTTTTAACTGATTCTATTAGACCTGTTCACCCTGGTTTTAAAATAAACGTTCTTGTTCAATCTGGCTAGAATTTAGCGTAAAACTAATCCTTGTTATATATATATATATATATATATATATATATATATATATATATATATATATATATATATATATATATATATATATATATATATATATATATATATATATATATATATATATATATATATATATATATTGTAAAAATCGGTCTAGACGGCCAATTAATCGATGATTAATTGTTAGGCGGTATTCAACCGAATAAGATTAAGGCTAATCGGTCGGTCTAATCGGTTTTGGTCAAAGGGGGTCAAGTCGGAGCTAGATAGTTCTAATTGGTCCTAGACGGTCTGATCAGCCAAATTTTTAAATTTTCAAAATTTTAAATATTAAACCAAAATTTTCAAAATTTCGAAGGTTCATAGTATCAAGATGTCAACTAATATATGAAAAAAATTTAGAAAAATAAATTTAAAAGTTTTTCTCCAAAATTTCTATGTTTTCAAATGTACAAATAGCCAAATTTTCTTCTTTCTTAAGATATATTAAAAATTAAATAATTTTTCTTAGAGAAATTTACAAAAATAGCCATTTACACTAATGATATTACAAAAATAGCAAAAAAAATCAAAATTACAAAAATAGCCACTAATTTCGCAGATGAGAAGGTCCCATCTGCGAAATGGGCTTCTCATCTGCGAAAGTACAAGTGCCTAAAGCACAACTGTGGTTTAGGTACTTGTACTTTCGTAGATGAGAAGGCCCATCTGCGAAATGGGCTCTCATCTGCGAAATACCCTCGAATTTCACTATAAAAACGTTTTTTCCTCCTTCATTTTTCACCATTCTCTACACAAAAACTCTCTCTAACTTTGGGCTTATCTCGGAATTTTGGCTAGTTTTTGAAGAAAATGGAGGATTATGTCAACAATCCCGCAAATATGGTTAAATTTTAACTCTTTTAATGTCAACAATCTCTTTATTTTATCATTTGTTGTATTATTTAGTGTTAAAAAAGAGTAATTTTGTTGTGTTTGATAGTTTTAATATTTTTTTAGTATACTTGAAGTTTAAATGCAAGTAGAGACAAGTAGAGACTGCGTAGATAATGTTTACAATTTGTTATTTTTGTTGTTTTTTTAGTTGTTGTATAACCTGAAATCTTGTATATTCTAATCGTATAGTTGTTTATATAAAGTGCAAAATAGTCGTTTGTATATATATTTGTCGTATAGGTATAACATTTGTATAAATTGAAAATTTGTGGTATATATATTGTTAGAAATTGTTTGTGTTTATCGTATAAGTAAAACATTTGTATAAGTTGAAAATTTGTTGTATATATATTGTTAGAAATTGTTTGTGTTTGTCGTATAAGTAAAACATTTGTATAAGTTGAAAATTTGTTGTATATATATTGTTAGAAATTGTTTGTATTTGTCGTGTAAGTTGAAAATTTGTATAAAGTTGTCGTATAACTTGCAAAACTGTTAGTTTGTTTGTCGTTTTATTTTTAAAATTTTTTTTGTTTATATGGTTATAAAATGTTAGTTTTAATTAGAAAGATAAAAATTGTTTATATATTTGTCGTTTAACTTGAAAATTTGTTTAAGTTGAATATTTGTCGTTGATATATTTGTCGTTTAAGTTGAAAATATGTTTAATAAAATGTTTATATAATTATGTATGATATTGTTTTCTATCGTTAATATATTAGTTGTATAACTTGGAAAATTGTTTATATATGTGTATGTTATTGTTTTTTATCGGAAATATATATATTAGTAATTAAGAAATTGTATTTGCAGTTCGTAATCATATATTTAAAAAAAATATATTTTTTAGTTATCTAATTTGTTTTTGTGTTTTTTCTGCAGCATGATTTTAGTTTAATGAATACGAAAGCCTTTGCGAACTTATAAGGCTGTGGCGGTAACATATGGGAAGTATTTGAAGTTTTAGATGATGTCCGACGTGCTATTTTCAGAGATACCGTCTTTGGTTATTTTATTGATGTCCCTCGTTTACAAGGGGACGCATTATTGTTTCATAAAATGTTCCTTCATCAGATCCGGCCGGACCCTGTTTTATATCCAGATGGAATAAAACGTTTATATTTTCGAGTAGGCAATACGAAAATGGTGTATGGGCCGGAAGAGTTTTGTTTGATTACCGGCTTCAATTTTGGGGAGTATCCAAAAAACATTGGGAGAAAAGGGTCAGAAAAATTAATAAGCAGTAAAAAAAGATGTTTACTGTGTGAACGGCTATTTCCGGACCATACTAATAGTTCGGTGAAAATCGGCGACCTGAAAAGTTTAATTTTAAATCGAACATTCCTAGCACTTGACGATGTTGATGCAGTTAGAGTATGTTTGATATACATTTTGTGTGAAGGTTTTTTGGGTAAAGAAGTTAACGATCGGGTGCCACAAGATTGGTTTTATTTGGCTGAGAATTTGGATCTCTGGAATAGGTATATTTTGTTTACGTTAAAAATTCTATTTTATTAAAGTTATAATTTATATAATAATCAATTTTGTTTTTTTGTTTTGTTAGCTTCGCTTGGGTAGCTATCTCTGGGATTTTACCTATGTTGACCTTGAGGATACATGGAATAAGATACATAATAATTTATCAGTTTCTGAGGGTGGTAAAACTTTAAAGTACTCCGTCTCAGGATTTACGGCTCCAATAAGGGTATAAAAATTTTCTTATATTTAAATTGTTTTATTGTTATGTTTTTTATTTTAATTTTAACTTTTATTACTGTAATTGTAAAAAATTGTAGATATGGATATATGAGATGATTCCGGCTGTTCGTGCATGTGGATTTGCATCGAGAAAAAATAAAGACTTGCCTCGGATGAAACGATGGAGCGGAACAAAAAAATTGAAATGGGTTGACGTGAACAAGATTTGGTCAAAGATGCAGGTTTAAAATTAATTCGTTTATTATTAATAAAGTTGATTATTATACTTTTATATGCATTTTTAATATGTTTAATTTTTTAGGCGGGGCTACCACCAAGACAAAACATGCTACCGGGTGATGATGAGATGACATCTTTTTATTATATGTCATTTCAAGAGTATGTATATGGTGAAGGGAAAGCAGTTCCATCCCCAGTACGGGACCATTTTAGGAGACAAGACGAATCTTCGTCTAGTATGTCGTCCAGTGGTCGCTCTCATGGTAGAGGTCGGGGCAGTGGGAAACACAAGCTAGACGAGGTGTTGAAACGGCTACATGCACTGGAGCAGCATGTGTTTATGAACCGACAACCTACAGAGGTTTTTGTTGAAGAAGTGAATAATGACCAATTTTGGAGCGACATTTTTTATGATGGTAGGACAGAGTCACAAAGAAATTATGATGAACAGGTTAGTTACACGCTACACTATTTATTAAATTTTATTAACATATATGAATACCTGTGTTCATATTTTATATTTGAAAATATAGGTTGTACAAGATGAAGTGATGAATAAAAACAATACAACTGAAAATGT